CGACTTCTGCTCTGGTCAGACCTCACCTGGAGTACTGTGTCCAATTCTGGGCACCACAGTTCAAGAAGGACACTGACAAACTGGAACATGTCCAGAGGAGGGCAACCAGAATGGTCAAAGGCCTGGAAACGATGCCTTATGAGGAACGGCTAAGGGAGCTGGGCATGTTTAGCCTGGAGAAGAGGAGGTTAAGGGGTGATATGATAGCCATGTTCAAATATATAAAAGGATGTCACATAGAGGAGGGAGAAAAGTTGTTTTCTGCTGCTCCAGAGAAGCGGACACGGAGCAATGGATCCAAACTACAAGAAAGAAGATTCCACCTAAACATTAGGAAGAACTTCCTGACAGTAAGAGCTGTTCGACAGTGGAATTTGCTGCCAAGGAGTGTGGTGGAGTCTCCTTCTTTGGAGGTCTTTAAGCAGAGGCTTGACAACCATATGTCAGGAGTGCTCTGATGGTGTTTCCCGCTTGGCAGGGGGTTGGACTCGATGGCCCTTGTGGTCTATTCCAACTCTATGATTCTATGATTCTATGACTCTGTCTGAGGCAGCTGCTTCCTCTGGTCCCATTTCATTGAACCGACCTGGGGCTCGAGAGAGAGGAGTTCCTCACGGCTCTGCAATGTTCACCCAGCATGGGACACGGGTGGCGCTGTGGTCTAAAACCACTGAGCCTCTTGGGCTTGCCAATCAGTTCGAACCCACACGATGGGGTGAGCTCCTGTTGCTCTGTCCCAGCTCCTGCCAACCTAGCACTTTGAAAGCATGCCAGCACAAGTAGATAAATAGGTACCGCTCCGGCGGGAAGGTAAACGGCATTTCCATGCGCTCTTGTTTCCGCCACAGTGTTCTGTTACACCAGAAGCGGTTTAGTCCTGCTGGCCACATGACCCAGAAAGCTGTCTGTGGACAAACGCCAGCTCCCTCGGCCTGAAAGCAAGATGAGTGCCACAACCCCATAGTTGCCTTTGACTGGACTTAACTGTCCAGGGGTCCTTTACCTTTTTTACCTTTTACCCAGGATGGGCCACCCAGAGGGCAGTCAAATGCCAGTACCTGAAGCCCCTCTCTTGCTCGACTAGATGCGGCCGGATCCAGGAGACTCTCCTAATGTTCTTATGACATGCATGCAGTCTGCTGGGTGCATATCTGTGCATATGGACTCCCCACTGTGCTTGTCTGGGGGGGGGGGACAGGACCCTCTGCTTCTTCAGAGGGGCCAGGCAAGAGGTGAGGGGTTGCAGAGAGAGAGGGTGGAAATATGAGAGACAGGAGCAGACCTGCCGAGGCATCTGGCTCTCGGAGCCGGCCTTGGCCCCAGGGTCAGCAAGGCTCCTAAATCCCAGGGTAAGCACAGAAACAACCTCCTCTCCCCACCCCCTAAGCAGCTCGCAGCAAAACAGCCCCTGCCAAACCCTCAACAACAAGCCGCCTGAGTCACGGGGCTGGGTGGGTGGTGAACAACACAGCCCCGGCAAGAGGCGCATGGACAGCTCTGCACACCCACAACCCACAACAGTCACCATGGCAGAAAGTGAGCAGGAAGAGGAGGAGGGTGGCTTTCAAAGAGGATTGAGCAAATTCATGGAGCAGGAGAGAGCTCTGCGTAGCTGCTAGCTGTTGTGCTCACCTATAGCCACCTATAGCTAGGGACGCGGGTGGCGCTGTGGGTTAAACCACAGAGCCTTGGGCTTGCCGATCAGAAGGTCGGCGGTTCAAATCCCCGCGACGCGGTGAGCTCCCGTTGCTCGGTCCCTGCTCCTGCCAACCTAGCAGTTCGAAAGCACGTCCAAGTGCAAGTAGATAAATAGGTACCGCTCTGGCGGGAAGGTAAAGGGCGTTTCCGTGCACTGCTCTGGTTCGCCAGAAGCGGCTCAGTCCTGCTGGCCACATGACCCGGAAGCTGTACGCCGGCTCCCTCGGCCAATAAAGCGAGATGAGCGCCGCAACCCCAGAGTCGGCCACGACTGGACCTAATGGTCAGGGGTCCCTTTACCTTTATAGCCAGTGGCGTAGCAGGGTCAGGTGGTACCCGGGGCAGAAAATTTCTTGTCACCCACCCCCCACATTGAAATCTTTTCACTGAGCTTTTTTGGGGGGGATTCCAGGGTTTGCCAAAGTTGTTCAGCTTTTTGCTCCAGAGTTCCCTCCCTCCTCTGCTTGTTCGCTCGCCTGCCTCCTTCGCATCCTCTCCCTGCATACCTCCTCCACCAGCCTGGGAGCGCGGGGCTGTATAAACGAAGGCGGAGGGGGGGGGACACCGCAGCTCCCACCCTTCCCCAGATGGATCGGGGTAGGCGGGAGTCGGGGGCGGGTGATGCGCTGAATGTCAGCCCCCTCGATGACACCTGGGGCGGTTCGCCCCCTACCGCCCCCACCTTGCTCCGCCCCTGCACATAGCTCAGTTGCTAGGGCATGAAACTCTTCAGGGTTGTGAGTTCGAGTTCCACATTGGGAAAAAGAGTCCTGCTTTGCGGGGGGGGGGGGGTTGGACCAGATGACCCTTGCGCCCCCTCCCATTCTACGATTCTGGGATGGCTACGCTTTGCTCTCCACAGTCAGAGGCCGCCGTGCTTCTGAATCCCAGTTGCTGGAATGTGCAGGAATGGAGAGCTGCTCTTGTGCTTGCTGGTTTCCCACAGGCTCCAGTGAGAACAGGATGCTGGACTGGGTGAGCCATTGGCAAGGCGGGAGCTGGCTCTCACTGAACACACCAGGCAGGGCGTGTGAGGGGGGGGGAACAGGGGCCCACCTGAGCCCAGAAGCATCTTCCTTTCAGCTCCAGGGTCCCGAAGGTATGAAAAGCTGCCCACCTTTCAGGTTTGGTTTTGGGCAAATGGCGGTGAAACTCTTCTCCCGAGTAAGACATGGGGCCAGGAGAAGTCAGAGCACCAAGAGCACTTCGGAGCATGCGCAGAATGCCTTCTGTCCTCAGAGGCTGCCCGGGGGGGCATGCTTGGTGATCCCAGGGCCCAATGCAAAACCGTGGCACTTTGCTTTCCTGCCTTGTTTTAGTGCCAGATGTTATTATCTGCTCACGTGCCCTTTCCCTTCAAAAAGGTTCACGCAACCAGTTTAAATTGCAAAGGGGAAATTCACAACCTTCCGGCATGAAGCAGCAGCAGAAAAGCCGCATTTGCAGGACTGGGAAGCCTGGGGAAAGATTCCTAAGCAGTGAGAGTGTTGCAAAGTCGCGGTGCCACCACCAAGAAGGCCCTTCTTCATCCCTCCAGCCACCCCTCAGAGGGCAGGAGACAGGATCCTGGTGCAACGTGCACAAGCACATGACATGGACCTCGGGGACCCTTTGGGGTCCCCTCTGGTCTCCCCCTCCTCAGCTGGGGAGGGATTTCAAGGTCAACAAGGAGCAGCGGTCCGAGTTGAGCCTGGAAAGAAACACCGCCACACACAAAGAGACCCAGGCCCCAGGTCTGAGCAAATACTGTGGGTTGCACCTGCCCCCAAGCCCTACTCAGAGTACACCCATTGAAATCAAGGGGCATGGCAAAGTCCATCCATGTTAATGGCCCTGACTGCATTCAGGGCTAGCTGCAGGTTCCAAATTGCCTGCAAGAGCTTTGAACACCCAGGCAGAAAGGTGGCAGGTGGCTCAAGTAAGAAGGAAACCAGCCCCCAAGCCCCTCTGCCCCAGAGATGGGAGGGAGCTGTCTTCCTTACCTGCAGGCTGAAGGGAGAGACCTCCCTGCCATGTGGTTGTCAGATGCGTTTTTTGGCCCCAGTGAATCTTTGCACGTTTTAAATGCCCCTCTCTGGGCTGCTCTGCTACAGCCTCTCCTTCTGCCCTATGTGAGCTTGTGGGTGTGCAAATTGCCCCATGGAAAAGGCTGTCCTGCTCCTTCCAGAGGACAGCTGGTGCCCCCCCTCCCCTACGGCCGATCTGAAGCCCACTCCGTTCCTCTCCTCCTTCTCTGTCACAGCGTGTGGAAGGAGAACGTGGGAAGAACTTGCCGGGTCCGGCCAAGGGCTCATCTCCTCCAGCCTGCCTGTGGGAAACCAGCAAGCAGGATCGGACCCCAAGAGGAGCGAATCTCCCTCCTGCGGTTTCCAGCCACTGGCATTCAGAAGCGTCGCTGCCTCCGACTGGCGAGGCAGAGTCCGGCCATCCTTAATGCCTCGCAGTAACTCTTAAGACCCAGGCGAGGTGAAAAGGAGCACCTCAGAGCCTAAAAGCAACCCACATGCCGGGAAAGGAGGGGGGGGAGAAACTGAGGGCGTCCACACGTGCCCCAAAGCAGGCCAGACCCCTGGGCAAGGCGCCTGCGGAACCTCGGCGAGCCAGAGGGCTCTAGTCAGCCAGCCAAGCTGCATGCAAGAGAAGAGCAGCGCCCGCTTCTCAGAACGCAACCAGAGTCATGAGAGGGGAGGCTAAGGCTACTCTGGCCGCCTCCAACCCAGTCAGAATCCGAACTGCCCTTGCACCGTCTCGTCTGAACGTTTGGCACTGCCAGATGAAGCCACGGGAGGGGGAGAGAGCGGAACGCCGAGAGGGCCTCTTGGGAAAAGAGCCCCCCAGCACCACACCGCGCGCATCTTCCGCGGAGCGCAGCTGACCCGGAGAGAGAGAGAGAGCGGGCGCGTAAAAGCAGCGCGCACATCAGCCCCGGCCAGCCCGCCCCGTCGGCTCCCTTGCTCCGCGGACGGTCCCGGGCAGGAAGGCTTGCTGGGTGGGGGGCGACGGAGAGCCCCGTCCCCAACCCAGGGCCCCGATCCTGGAGGGCTCCTGCCCTTCAGCAAGAGGAGGGATGGAGGGATGGATGTGCCCCCTGCTCCCCTCCTGCGAGGGCGCCTGCGGGCAACTCAGCCCCCCCCCTTCCAGCCTGCATTTAGGCAGCAGAGCCGGCCTTCCTCTCCCCCCCCCCCTCCGCGCCCGCCCCCGGCACAGCCTGCACCCAACTCTGCCCCCCTCCCGTCCCACGGAAGGCGCCTCTGGCTCGCCGCGCCCGCCCGTCGGGGGGCTCTCCCGCCCCGGCCGCTCACCTGGACGCGCTCTTGCCGCAGCCGCCTGGCTCGGGCTGGGCTCCTCGGCTGGCGCCGCGCACGACGAGGCGGAGGCGACGAGCAGCAGCACAGCAGCAGCGCCGGCCGCGGCTCCGCCTCTCTGCCGCCCGTCGGAGGGACGCGCGCAGCAGCAGCGCGCCGAGGAGGCAGGCGAGCGCCCGGGCCGCCCCCTCCCTGGCGGAGCCACTCCGGATTCCGTGCGCATCCACGGGCGCGCGCGCCGACGCTCATCCCCGCCCTCGCCGCAGCCGCAGGCTCGCCGGGCAGCCCAGGGCGGAGGCCGTTTGAGGGACCGAGGACCGTGGAAAGGGCTTCGGACTCAAGGAGAGAGGGTCTCCGAGCATGTGCAGAGGGCCGCCAACCCACGGCAGCAGCGGCCACCAACCTCTGCTACCGCAGAAGGCAGAATGAGGATTGGACCAAAACTCCCAAAATGGATTTCAATAGGAAGAAATCCAAGGTTCTACATGAGGTTTTTAAGCAGAGGTTGGGTGGTCATCTGCCATGGATGTTTTAGTTGAGATTCCTGCATTGCAGGGGGTTGGGCTGGATGATCTTCAGGATCCCTTCCAGCTCTACAATTCTTGTTGCCATTCGTCTGTCTCGGGTGTGAAGTCAAGCCGCTGTGTTAGCAGCACCCAAGTGACCTCCCTGGGGCGCAAGCCTGGACAAGCCTATGATTCTAGGAAAAATTAGATTAGGATGGGGGACGCCTGGATTACTAGCAGTACATGTGAAAAGGATCTGAGGGTTTTGGTGGAGCACAAGCTGAATGTGAGCCAAGCGTGTGATGCAGCAGCGAAAAAAGCTAAGCCTATTCTAGGCTGCATCAACAGAAGTCGTGTCCAGATCAAGGGAAGTCATAGTACTATTCTGCCTTGGTCAGACCACACCTGGAATACTGTGTCCAGTTCTGGGCACCACAATTTAAGAAGGATGTTGACAAGCTGGGAGGTGTGCAGAGGAGGGCAGCCAAGATGATCAAGGGTCTGGGAACCAAGCCTGATGAGGAATGGTTGAAGGAGCTGGCTATGTACAAGTGACAATAAAGTACAGTGGTACCTCGGGTTACATACACTTCAGGTTACATACACTTCAGACTCCGCTGACCCAGAAATAGTACCATGGATTAAGAATTTTGCTTCAGGATGAGAACAGAAATCATGCAGCGGTGGCGCGGTGGCAGTGGGAAGCCCCGTTGGCTAAAGTGGTGCTTCAGGTTAAGAACAGTTTCAGGTTAAGAACGGACCTCCAGAACGAATTAAGTACGTAACCAGAGGTACCACTGTATTTCAATTATGTGTAGCCTGGGGAGGAGGAGACTGAGATGTGCTATGAGAGCTCTGAGGGGCTGTCACCATCTTTTATTCTGCTGCTCCAGAGGGTAGGACTAGATGACCCTTGGGAGTCCCTTCTAACTGTACAGTTCTACGAATGGGCAAGGCAGCATCCACATTGGAGCATGTGCAAAGTGCTGGGGGGCATTTTGTCTGCCTCTGACCAGGGAGGCCTGTCCAGCCATTGTGGCTTTGGAGATGAACCTGTGAACTGGGTGATGCTCCACCCCTGAATTATGCCCCCCCCAAAAAACTCACCTTCCACTCAGCTGGACTTTTGGTCCATCTCACTCAATATTGCCTACACTGACTGGCAGCTTCTCCCTGGGGTTCTCAGGCAAGGGGGTCTTTCCATTGCCCTACCTGGAGATGCTGTGGATTGGGACCTGCCACGCTCTGAACTCTCAAGATCCAGCTCTGCCGCCTCCTTCTCCTGGGAGCAATCTGTCCCTGGATAAACTCGTTTGCCCCCCCCCCCGGGGAAACTGGCATCGCCCCTGGCTGGCATGCAGCAGCACCTGCTGTGGTGGGAAGGGCAGCTGCCAGCGTGAGCAAGAGCCCCCTGGCGCCGTGGAATCTCCCAGCGGGGCTGCAGCCCTGGAATGAGCAGCCAAATGTCACCAGAGCCCACAAGGCATTGGGGAGTCTCCTGCCACCCCGTGGGCATCTGGGCTTTTGCCTTGCCTCTTGTGGCTGGGGGGGGGGGGCTTCACTGCACCCACCTCACCCTGAGGTCTCCCCAGTCCCATTGGGCAAGCTGACCCTCACGATCAGTGCCGGATTTGCGTATAAGCTAAACAAGCTATAGCTTAGGGCCCCACTCTCTTGGGGACCCCCCAAAAAATTTAAAGGGGAAAAAACTGGATGTACATTTCCAAAATATAAGATAAAAAACAAATACAGTGGTACCTCGGGTTACAGACGCTTCAGGTTACAGACTCCGCTAACCCAGAAATAGTACCTCAGGTTAAGAACTTTGCTTCAGGATGAGAGCAGAAATCATGCAGCGGCAGCAGGAGGCCCCATTAGCTAAAGTGGTACCTCAGGTTAAGAACAGTTTCAGGTTAAGAATGGATCTCCAGAACAAATTAAGTTCTTAACTTGAGGTACCACTGTAAAACAAAACCTACGTACAGCAACCATGTTTTGTGTTGTGTAGGCTCCTATGATGTAAGTCACGGGCCCCGCCTGCTAGCCTGCTCCCTAAAATACCACTGATTTGCTCATTTCTATATACTGTATAGAGTACCTGCATTCTACACGGACTGGTTGCAAATGGCTTTAGATACCCATTAGGTCCATAAATCACCATATAGCATATATTCAACACAAAAAACGGGGACAATTTGTTGTTGACAAAGGACAGCTGGACACATCAAGGGCCCTGTTACGTTCAGGAGCTGAGGGTGTCATCAGACCTAAATCTGGCCCTGCTCATGATCCCTTCCAACTTTAATTCTGTGATTCTATTATTCACAGCACAGAGTTAACCTATGGAACTCCCTTCCCCATGACACATGACGGCTACCCACCCAGATGGCTTTAAAAGAGGGTTAGACTCATGGAAGAGGAAGGCAGGGCTATCATGGCTCCTGGCCAGGTTGGTTTTCCCAGTAGTGATGTATGGAAGTGAGAGCTGGACCTTTAAGAAGGCCGATCGCCGAAGAATTGATGCTTTTAAATTCTGGTGCTGGAGGAGACTCTGGAGAGTCCCATGGACTGCAAGAAGATCAAACCTCTCCATTCTGAAGGAAATCAGCCCTGAGTGCTCACTGGAAGGACAGATCCTGAAGCTGAGGCTCCAAGACTTTGGCCATGAGAAGAGAAGACTCCTTGGAAAAGACCCTGATGTTGGGAAAGATGGAGGGCACAAGGAGAAGGGGACGACGGAGGACGAGATGGTTGGATTGTGTTCTCGAAGAGACCAGCCTCAGTTTGACCAAACCGCGGGAGGCAGTGGAAGACAGGAGTGCCTGGCGTGCTCTGGTCCAGGGGGTCACGAAGAGGTGGACACGACTAAACGACTAAACAACAACAGCCAGGATGGCTGGACTCTGACTCCACGATTTGAGGCAGCGATGCTTCTGAACACCAGTTGCTGCTTTGGGGCTTCCCAGTGGGGCATCTGGTCGGCCACTGTGAGGACAGGGCGGGAGCCAGGATGGGGCCTCCTTGGCCTGATCCATTGGCCTCTTCCCATATTCTTTTGCTCTTACTCCATCTCAACACAATTCCACATTCTGTGATGAGTAGCAGCAGCTGTTGCACCCGGTGCTGAGATTTTTCAGGGCTGCCTCTCCAGCCACCTTGGGAACAGGATGCTGGCTTGTCTGGGCCCCTGGCCTGATCCTGCCAGCTCTTCTGGAGTTCTTAAAAGGCAGCTGCTCAGTGGTCTCTTTCCAGGCGTCCCTTCTCGGCCTCTTGCCGGAGCAGCAGCAGCAGCCAATGAGCCGGGAGGGAGGCAGGAGAACGAGGAGGAAGGTGATGTAATTGTTGCCAGGCGCTTTCCCCTGCCAAGCGTTGCCAGGGAGACGCGTGCGGAGCGGGGCCTGGGGCAGGGGCAGAGGCTTGTACCCCAGAACGTACCAGCCAGCCCTGAGCAATCTGAGGGGGAGGAAAATTCAGAGGTCCTGTGTTTGCGCAGGGCTTAGTCTGAGCCAGGGCTTCATGCTACAGGAGGTTCTCTCTCTGCTTTGGGTCTGGCTGCCTGATCTCTGGGTACCAGCCAGGTGGGGGTTGAACTGGAGGTGGGGAAAAATATGGGGAGGAGCTGCACAGCCATCCTTTGGGAGCTGGATGCGTTGTGCCTCAGACATTCATTTTATTTTATTTTTATTTATTGCCTTTATATCCTGCCTTTTTCTCCAGAGGTGGCGTACATCGTTCTCTTTTAATCCCCATGACAAGTGGGGCTGCATGTAGAGCTCTTTTGGCAGGCCTGGGAAAGTCTCCAGAGAGTCCAGGTGGGAGGAGTTGTCTTCCAGGGACTCGGCCACTGCCTGTGCACTCTGCTCGTGCTCAGAGGCACTGCCTTCCTCCTTTTGTTGTTGTTTAGTCATGTCTGACTCTTCGTGACCCCCTGGATCAGAGCACGCCAGGCACTCCTGTCTTCCACTGCCTCCTGCAGCTTGGTCAGATTCATGTTTATAGCTTTGAGAACACTGTCCCACCATCTCGTCCTCTGTCGTCCCCTTCTCCTTGTGCCCTCCATCTTTCCCAACATCAGGGTCTTTTCCAGGGAGTCTTCTCTTCTCATGAGGTGGCCAAAGTCTTGGAGCCTCAGTTTCAGGATCTGTCCTTCCAGTGAGGACTCGGGGCTGATTTCCTTCAGAATGGAGAGGTTTGATCTTCTTGCAGTCCATGGGACTCTCAAGAGTCTCCTCCAGCACCATAATTCAAAAGCATCACTTCTTCGGCGATCTGCCTTCTTTATGGTCCAGCTCTCACTTCCACACATCACTACTGGGAAAACCATGGCTTGAACTATACGGACCTTTGTTGGCAAGGTGATGTCTCAGCTTTGTCTCTGCTTTTAAAGATGCTGATTTAAGTGATAGATTTACTTATAAGGCGATCAGCCTTCCTCCTTATTGGAGCCTATATCCAGTGGCTGAGTCCTAGCATTCAGTAGAGGCCCTGCGCCTGGTTCAAACTACGACCTTCTGCTTCACTGGATGTTCCTGACTTCTCGTGTTGTGAGAGAGGGAGGAAAACCTTTCCTCCATCCACTTTCCCCTTGCCGTTAATAATTTTATAAATGTCTATCATGCCACCGCTGGCTTGCCTTTTCTCGAAACTAAAATGTCCCAAATTCTGCAGCCTTTCTTCATTGCAGCGTCGCTCCTTCCCCTTGATCATTCTGGGGTCTG